AAAAAGGCTTTTTCGGACATGACGTATTTGTACATGTGTACATCACTGTAACACATTTTATTCAAGAACATTTGAGCTGATTTCAGTCTTTAGTGCTTTCATTTTCATCTTATTTAAATATATTTAACTTGCTTGTTGATTAAATCCTATTTTGTTATTTAACCTTATTAATTTTATGCAACAGTCAAGTTGCATGTTAATTTGCTATAAAGAAAAGGAAGTAATGTATTTTTTGCATGCTGATTTATGTGAAATCTTGAATATAGGTCTATATTCACCTTGCAATTTTGAAGTTAAAGCTTTTTTGCTTTGAGTATAGACTATTTAGTTCATAAGAGCAGTTCAATCTTTTATGAAGTTTGCTGTATAAAAATATATCATTTTAAAATATTTATAAATATCGGCCTATACATATCGGCTATCGGCGTCCAAGTCTGAAGAATTATTGGTTATCGGTATCAGCCAAAAAATCCATATATATATCCCTAATATTTATATATATATATAGATTATATGCAGAAGAATCTACTGTTATACGATGACTTGCATAATTACACTAATTAAGGCTTTGAATGTCACTTTAACCCCTTCAGACCTAAATTATGTTCCAAATTTCAGAAAAATGGGATGTCATGTGATGTCCATTGTAATGGGGGCAGGGTCTGAAGAGGTTAAGCTAAATAATAGTATCTTGAAAAATATGTAGTAAAATATAATGTGCTGTCATCATAGCAAATACATAAGAAATCAGTTACTAGAAATGAGTTATTAAATCTGTTATGTTTTAACTGTGCTTTAAGCATCTTCACTTTACAAAAAAAAACTTCAGCTAAAAAATCCTTAGCTTAGCCAAGAGCAGTGAGGGATTTTCTCCTTTTGTTGTTGGATTAATAATAAAAACATGCAACAGCAGGAATATTGTGCGCTGTCTCTTTAAGAATAGTCCGGCTCTGATATGGTTTCTCTTTCACGGTTCTTTTGATGCTCAACTTGTTTGCTTTTTACACAAATGAGGGTTAATATGAATAATCACTTAACACTGCGCTCTGAGCTAAGCACGGCGCGCACACACACACACACAACAGCATATGCTCTTTCACACTTTCAAAAATATGAATGATGCGCATCACGAGCTGCAGACGTTACATTACAGTACATGCTTTTAGTCATTTTCACATGGAACTGAGCTTTGCAGAGCAACAAGTGTGTACAACTGGAAAAGAAGCGGTATATGATGCAATAATCGTTTATCTCGATTAATGGTTTTTCATAATCGTGAGAAGCCAAAATCGAAAACGGATTTTTAATTAATTGCACAGCCCTTGGTTGTAAGTAGTTTAATTTACAATATAATACACTTTACTATAGTATGTTTGTATTTACAAACATACTATAGTAACACTATAGTATGTTTGCATAGTATACTACAGTAAAACACTATAGTATTTACTATGAATTACTACAGTATATTTTTTCATGTTGTTGTTTTTTACTGTATAATTAGTTGAATATGGGGCGAGGCAGTGGCGCAGTAGGTAGTGCTGTCGCCTCAAAGCAAGAAGGTCGCTGGTTCGAACCTCGGCTCAGTTGGCGTTTCTGTGTGGAGTTTGCATGTTCTCCCTGCCTTCGCGTGGGTTTCCTTCCGGGTGCTCCGGGTTCCCCCACAGTCCAAAGACATGCGGTACAGGTGAATTGGCTAGGCTAAATTGTCCGTAGTGTATAAGTGTGTGTGTGAATGTGTGTGTGGATGTTTCCCAGAGATGGGTTGCGGCTGGAAGGGCATTCGCTGCATAAAAAACTTGCTGGATAAGTTGGCGGTTCATTCCGCTGTGGCAACCCCGGATTAATAAACGGACTCAGCCGACAAGAAAATGAATGAAGTTGAATATATATATTTAAACACTTCTGTGCAATTTCATTTTAATTTAAATAATATGAAGGCTTAATAAATGTCGCTTGTATAATCTTCATAATAAAAGTACAAGTTGTGTGTAAAAGCTATACTTTCAGCAGTTATACATTTCAAAAATGTACAATTAAAGTCTCTTAAAACTTTGATCCCCAACCCCCCCTGCTGCATTAATTTAATAAAAATACAGGCAGTCAGTAAAATCAGTGTGAAATATTATTTAGATTCAATTTGAATTTGTTTTAAAAATGCAAAACTACTAATCCCAGTTTAAAAATCCCAAAGCCCACTTTTTCAGATATCTGCAGGTGCATGACTTTACACGTAAGAATTTTCCCTCTTTTCCTGCCCTCCCTGAACAAAATCCTATTGATCAACTTTTTTCCTGATGACGCAGAACAAAGTAGAACCATTTCAAGTTTATATAGTAAGCTTGCATCATTCTAGATCTACACAAAGAGACTCCTGGCACCTTGACCTTAATATTAGTTTGACAGACGAGGACTGGAATGAGGCTATACATAGAATCTATAGATCCTCTATTTGTGCCTTATTCAATTTAAAGTGGTACATAGACTTCATCTTTCCACGGCCAAGCTGGCAAGGATGTATTCCTCTGTTGACCCCATCTGTACAAGATGCAAGCAGTCCCCTGCTACATTAGCCCATATGTTTTGGTCATGTCCCAGATTATCTGTGTTACGTCAAATATTTGTTTATCTTACTCCAGAATATTTTGTAAAAATGTTTGTTCAAATCCCTTAACTGCTATCTTTAGTATTGTATATGAAAATAACAATTTGTCAAAAAGTGAATTGGACTGCATTGCCTTTACTTCTCTCCTAGCAAGACGCTTGATTCTAACCAATTGGAAGCAATCATTTCCCTCTTCTTTTAAACAGTGGGCCAATGATGTGTTGAATTTCCTTAGTTTGGAAAGAATAAGATTCCGTTTAAATGGTTCCGGGTCCAAGTTCACTGCCATGTGGCGTCCTTTCATAAATTATTTCCAAAGCCAAGTGTAACTGTAAGTGGACAAAATGATGCTGTCAGGTTTTGCTTGTACTGATGTTGTCTTCATTTTATTTAATTTTTTGTCTTTGTTTGTATGTACACAATGTTAAAGCCTTATGTTTATATTTATGTTGTGTTGCTAGTTATGGCGATTAATTTTTTTGACTACTTAAATAAATAAAAAAGGGGGAAAAAATGCATACTAAATTTTCAGTGGGGCGACTTTGTGGCTCAGTGGTTAGCACTGTCGCCTCACAGCAAGAAGGTCGCTGAGTCGAGTCCCGGCTGGGTCAGTTGGCATTTC